AAAGTTTCATGACGGATTTTGGCATCAAAGTATTCTTTCTGTTTCTGTTGTGATTCATTGGTCTTTTCTCTTGCATCGTTTTGCAATTCAGGTAGCTTGTCGATAAGCTCAAATGCTCGGTGCAATATGCTATCTTGTAAATCGTATTCTGTTTCTTCATGAGGTTCGACAGGAAGTAAGGCTTCAATCAGAAGAACAGCTTGTCGTCCGTATACAAGCTGGAAGGGGGTATATTTAGTTGTAGCATGCTTCTTTGTTTGATAAGCAAGCAATACAGCAGGTATATGCAAGTCCCAGTCATCGTTTCTTTTGACTTTAGCGAGTGATTCACATAAGGTTCGATTAAGACATTCAACCATTCCATTTGTCTGTAGGTGGTATGATAAAGAGAACTTATGTTTGATAAGAAACTTTTCACATAGAATGTAAACAGTTTCACTAATAAAGTTTTTTCCTTGATCAGAGAGAATAATCTTTGGTGTTCCATGTCGACAGATAATTTCTTCGAATATAAACTGAGCTAAGGTATTTGCTCTGGCATCAGGTACAGCTAGGGTAAGTGGCATGAAAGCCACTGGCATGCCACCATGGCATGCCAATAATGGCATGCCAATGGCATGCCCGAAACCCAAACCGTCTATAGGCATGCCATTTATATAAGAAGAACCAATTCATATGATAATTAACCAATTAAATTGTAAAGTCGAAAAATGTGTTTCAACTGTTTTAACCGTTCCAACCTTCTCTTTCTATTAGTATTAGTGAGAAAAAAGATCAGGTTTTTGGATCTAAGCCTCGCAATATATAACTAGTTCTAGTCGGTGATTCTGGTTTTTATTCAGGTTATATAATCATTAAAAGCCTGACTACAATTTACATTTTAACTCTTACTAATAAATACTTGAATCACTTACAAAAGTTTATTGATTTATTACTTTTATGCTTTAGACACGTTTATTCTTTCTTATACTTCGTAGATTACAGATTTTTATGAAGTCATTACTAAACTTTTTTTTTATTTTTTAAATTTGAATTCTAACGGTTTACTTTAGAATATGAACTTGAGACTATTATAAAAATTTTTATTAATTTTTATCAGGGTAAGGCCATACTAACTTAATAAATTGGTTCTCGTAACCTGACCGGGTCAAATTTACAAACCTTTAAAAAAAATTTTTTTAAGTATATTTACTATCCAGGTAGGTTTTTCTAAAAAATTTCTAAAAAATTTTATATATAAAATTTTTTGAAAATAAAATTAAAAGCTGGGTTGCCAGGTCACTTTCAAAAATTTTATGTTATGAGGACCAAAAAATTAACTTGGCCTGGCCTAATATATCTAAATAAAAAAAATTACATTTCTATAAATCTATTCTAACTAGTATTATATTGAAAGAAGATATCGTCAACTGACCAATCTTCATTAGTACTATTGGTAGGTCATTGAGAATTAACAACTGAATAGTCTTCAATTATATTCTCTTGATTTCGTTCAAGCATTCCAATATTAAAAAATTGTTCTATTGCTAGTTCATTTTCTATTTCAAGGTTCGTTGCCTCAATGTTAATTTGTGAAAATTCTTCATTAAATTCTTCCTCAAAGAGGTCAATGTTGGCATTTTCGCTATTTATAGAATCTTCAAATATATTCTGATCATTTGCTTTTGGGGATTTTTTTGGCATTTTAGATAGTCTCTGTTGAAGATCATGGCGAAGCATCCTGAGCATTCCCATTAAAGCAGGAGACATCCTGTTTCATAATTTTGTCTTGACTAATCCCAAACTAGAAAACAAACGTTCAACGGACGCTGAATGTGGAACAATTGCAAATACCTTCATGGCAAAATGCCGAATAAGTGGGGAACCTCCTGTAAACTTGGTCCAGAAAATTCTGGGATTAATATTTTCGGGATATTGATTTTCAAAAGAAACGTCGCCATTCTTATAACTGATAAGTTCTTTAAACAAAAGTGTTGTTTCTTTTTTGTCAAAACCCCAGGCTTTTGCCAACTCCAAGTATGCCCTAACGATTAAATCGCCTGACATTTGTCCTGACATTGCTATTTGTTTATAACTAGGTGATAAAAAAAACGAAACAAAATAAATGCCATCTAAGAATTCACGTGTCCGTTTATCAAGAGCTGCCAAGGCATGGTTTTTGAACCCTTCAACCGAAACATTTTCTGTAGAAATAATGCAATGAATGCTTAATAGTTCTTTAAAGATGTTCGCTAGAGTGGCATCTCTCGACTCAAGGCGACCAATAGCATCGATGACGGGAATAAGCACTTTTAGTAAAGTGTCGTTGTTTGCAAAGTGATGGCGGTTGGTAATTATGTTTTGAATTTTCATTCTTATTGCTGGATAATTACTGGTTTTACTAAGATCAATACATTTATTAAATCCATTTTCAAAGGCTTTAACAC